TCTGTGAGCGATAAAAATGTTGTTTAAACGAATTTTCTTGGGAAGAAGATAATTTTCGAATGTTTGTCTAGTCTGTTTAGTGTAACTCTTATAGGGCCCATTTTAAGTTATTTGAAAAATAAAAGTGAAAAATATACAGGATGTAACAATTTATAAAACGTCAATTTATCCAAAATACTTCATATTGGCCTCTTTGGATGCAGATTTTGTAGTGCTTTACAGTAGTAACTTCAGAATTGCGTTAACTTTATTTTGTTGTAAAATATTTCAATTTTTATTCATTTTTATTAATTAAATAATTAATAATTCGAAAACAACAAAAAACGTCATTTTTTTCGTTTTAGTTATTGAAAGTACATATTTTAAGCTTTCTTTTGGTACAAAAAAAAGAAAAAGGGTCCTTCTTGAAAAAAAAATCAAAAAAATTTTTAATTTTCAAAAAAAGGGTTAAATTTTGAATTTTTTAAAAAAATCTTTTCACCATTTGAAAGAGCGTGAAAAAACCTACCAAAAACATACAGGTCAAACTTTTTTTTACTTTATAATATAGAAGCTACGATTTTTTAGAAAACTCACTGTTCATACTTATCCAAAATCTTCAACTCATACATACATACTCATACATACACTTCAACTCATACATAGTACTAAATACTGTGAAAATATTAGCCCGATCCAACAATTCCCAGGTAGAAATTGACGACCGGGATGGTACCGGCCTGGTACAAACGGCGGATTATAAGTGCCGGGGCGGTACCGGCATAAGACCGTAATTTTTACCGTCTCGGTATCGGCAAATTGCCGGATGATAACTGCGGCAGGTATCCGGCATACGTACCGGGCCGGTACCGAATAATCCACCGGGGCGGTACTGGCCCGGTTATTGTTGGAAGGCATTTAGTGCCGGTTTATTACCAGCTGCACAACCGGCTAGGTACTGGTCCAGTACCGGCATAACTGTGTTCATTCCACCGGCGCAGTACCGGTAAATTGCCGGCCCAGTAAAAAAAGAAGTATTGAGTATGGAGCGTTTAGGAATTGAGTGAAGCTCTGAGCCAATACGGATTCGAGTAAAAACCGTATTGGGACGTCTGACTCAATCTTTTTTTCATCCGCCGAATACGGTCTTATTTTAGCATTAAAATTAAAATTACATGAGCAGAGTACACATTATAAATTGAAAGCACAATTGTCCTCGAATGTAAAAATGCCGATTTCGATGAGAAACAGTGAATATTTGTTAAAAATTGGTAAAAGCAAAGTTTGATAAGCGCGACTGAATTTACCATGTGAATAAATGAAGTGGCAAGTTTAAATGGACGAAATGGACTGAAAGAAATCTACTTCTACCGACAGAAAGTTCCTAGAGAATTGTGGTAAATTCAACAAATCTTGAACAAAACAATGAAATTTCATTGTTTTACAATTCTCTAGGAACTTTCTGTCGGCAACAGTAGATTTCTTTTCGTCCATTTAAACTTACCAATTCATTTATTCACATGGTAAATTCAGTCGCGCTTGTCAAACTTTGCTTTTACCAATTTTTAACAAATATTCACTGTTTCTTATCGAAATTGGCATTTTTACATTCCAGGACAATTGTGCTTTCAATTTATAATGTGTACTCTGGTCATGTGATTTTAATTTTAATGCTAAAATAAGACAGTATTCGGCGGATGAAAAAAAGATTGAGTCAAACGTCCCAATACGGTTTTTACTCGAATCCGTATTGGCTCAGAGCTTCACTCAATTCCTAAACGCTCCACTCAATACTTCTTTTTTTACTGGGGGATGATAACTTCGGTAGGTATCCGGCAACCGTACCAGGCCGGCACTAATGAATATCTGACACAGTACCGGGCCGGCACTAAAAAACAACCGGTTAAAAAAATTACATGTCAGTCTGATTAATTGTTTAATTATTATTATTATTATCAATGTTATTATTAATTTTAAATTGGAAACAGTAAATATATTAAATGCTGAAACAGAGATACATAAACAATTATAGAAAAATCTGAAGACTCGAGAAATTGAACTCCGGACCCTGAGGCTGCAAAGTCGACACCACATTCGCTAACCTAAACCTGCATATGGAAAGTAAATGCAAAGTGAGCTTATAAAGTCCAACCGACATTACAGCTGGCAGCAGTACCGGGCCGGCACTAATATTCAACCGGTACGGTACCGGGCCAGTATTTGTATTTTTTAATTTATTTCAATTCAATTTAAATTATTATAAATAAATAAAAATAGTAATTATAAGTAATAATAACCGCCCTGTTCACCGGCTAGATACCGGGCAGGCACCAATAAACAACCTATCCGGTATTAATATAATTTCCGGCATAACTAATTAATTAAATTAATAAATTAATTTTCAAATTTTTTTCTCTTCTTTAATTCTTTTTCTGCTAGTTTAACATTAGCTGGGCCGGTACAAATATTATCACCGGCAAATCTCCTTCGGCGGTATAAGACAGAGCGAAATGACAGTACCGGGCCGGTGCTACGCCGGTGCTATGCCGGTAAAAATATTATCACCGGCAAATCTCCTTCGGCGGTATAAAACAGAGCCAAATAACAATACCGGGCCGGTAAAAAAATTATCACCGGCAAATCTTCTTCGGCGGTATATAAACAGAAGTAAATTATAGTACCGGGCCGGTGCTGGGCCAGATATTTTTAATCAACCGGCCCGGTACACACTACCAGTACCGGTACAAATCCACATTTAAATTTTGCCCCATACATATATTGACAAATTTAACTAATTTTAGAAGAATTTGAATTATTAGAATTCGTCTTAATTTTATAATTTATCAGTCAAACAAAAAAGATACAAAAATTCAGAATTTTCTTATGAATTCTAGAAATTAAATTTTTTTCTGTACTTTTAATAAAAATTCCTAATTTTTCCCTGAATTGCCTATGTCAGAATATATGAATATTATAATTATAATAATATTAAAACTATATATATTCCAATTCATATTTTATTTTTATAAAAAAAATTTGAATTAGAAATTTTTACGTTCTATTATTTTTTAAATTGCTAATTTTATTTAAAAAAGTGATAATGAATTTAATAAAAAACATTCAGAATTTTCTTATGAATTCTAGAAATTAAATTTTTTTCTGTACTTTTAATAAAAATTCCTAATTTTTCCCTGAATTGCCTATGTCAGAATATATGAATATTATAATTATAATAATATTAAAACTATATATATTCCAATTCATATTTTATTTTTATAAAAAAAATTTGAATTAGAAATTTTTACGTTCTATTATTTTTTAAATTGCTAATTTTATTTAAAAAAGTGATAATGAATTTAATAAAAAACATTTTTTAAAAAAATTTGAATGTAATTTCTCGAAAATAATTGAATTTCTTAAAAGAATTTTGGGTCAATTTCAAAAATTGAGCTACTTTTTTATATAATTCTAATACCTATAAGAATTTTGAAATAATTTATTTTTCTAAAATTTAAAAAATAATTCTAAAATATATTCTTCCATTTTAACAACAAATTCAAATTTTTGCAAGTAAAAATATTTTAATGATTCCGAATTATAAAACTGGAAAGTGATGATGATCATAAAAACGCCGTCTATCAGCATCCACGATACTGACTAATTGACTGAACTAAAATCAAAAAATCAAAAGGCATTTTAATCTGTGAGGATGTGGCTATCGCCGGAACTAGAATTATTTGAAAATATTAAAAATTCAATTTTTTACGTGGCTTTGAAATTTTTTTTTTAAAAAAAACGTGATTTTTTTGGTCTATTTTGTTGTATAAAAAGAAATAACTTGACCTTTTTCAATTATTCTAGTTCGGGCGTTAGCCACATATGTGCTGAACACGCACTATAAATTTGTGCGATATTGGTCAAGCCGTTTTTGAGATATCGCCAGTTTGAAAAACACCTATCAAAGCTTAAGTAATACATTGTTCGCTTGGAAACTCCTTGTCTTCTCAGTGCTGTAACTTTCTTAGGATGTCAAATATCAAAAATTCTCTTTACACACATATTGTAGATGTGTTTTATGAAAAAAATGTTTTTGATTTTTTGAACTCATCACACGGGGTGACCCCCTTAAGCTCCAAGACCTCTTGTCCGCATTTACCCCCTGTACGGATTTACCCCAACTGACCCTATGTTTTCAATTAAATATAGAAGCGTTTAAATTAATATTTCGAAAACTTAATTATAAAATTTCTTTTCTGAGAATTTTTATTTACTATATGATATTCATTTAAATGAATTTTTATAATACAAAATTTTTTCATAATTAAAAGTTTATTTGACAGAATTTACATTACGTCGAATTTTAATTTATCGACATTTTCATTTGCTAGAATTTTTATTGAACAGATTTAGATGAATGTTTAATACCTAGACATAAAAAGTATTAGAAAGATTATTTCTCCGAAATATTATTTAACATAAATTCCATTTGAGCAACTTTCTGTATTACATAAATTTCACTTTGCAAGAATTTAATTGAGGACCTGGAACGGATAACTGCCTGCTACGCATGGTTGAAAATTGTCATATGGGCAAATTTTTACTTTATTGACACCTCAAATACTTTCAAAAGTTTTATTTTTTTAAATTTATTTTATGAATATTAAGTTCCTTTATAATTTCCTGACTCCAGACTCTACTCTATCAACAGGGCATAAAATTTAAGTCTTCGTCTATTTTAATTATTATTTTTTGGTAAGATAATTATCCATTAATTTATATTTTATTTATTTACATATTGTTAAATTATTTTTTATTATTTTAATTTTTATATATTTTTTGGATAGACTCCCTGAAGATGAAATCATTTAGATTTCGAAACGTTGGAGTAAATAAATATTTTACTCATTGCCCGAATGTTTTCGTTTTATTTGCCTTAATTTATATTTTTAAGAAATATAGTTTGTGTGACTAACCTCCCCACACTTATAGTGATAGAGAGGTTTCAAAAATAGTTTTCAAAATTAAAATTGAGTACTTTTTATTGTATATACAAGTAAATTTATATTACAAATTGCAGTCTTAAATTAATTTACGTAAAAAATAGATTATGAATTAGAAATATTTTTAAATTTCAATGCCTTTTAACTTCAGATTCTAGAGCATGTATCATTATATCTAATTCGTCCTTATTCAATTCTATACTCAACAATCTTTCATTGTCTTTTTCTTCAACTATTAAATCTAATTGCAAAAGCGGTTCTCGAAGCGAGGCCATTTTACTGGATCCCATAATTAACTGCAAATCAAATTAAAAATATTAATATAATTGTAAAGCAATTTAAGGTAATAGCAAACTTTAATAGTATCAACAATTTCAACACTTTATTAGAATAAAGTGGAGTAAACCAAATATTAAAAAACTGGTTTTGCAATTTTTTCTGCAAAACGGTTTGCTTTTAATTTTTTTCTTCTGACAACTTTTGCTTTTGAGCAATTACACGTGAACTGATCCAATAAAAAAAATTAGAGTTTAAGGGACATTGTTTTATTCAATTCACACAACTTTTAAAAAAATTAAGCGATTTTAATCTTTATGTAGTGAATTTTAAAGCATTATCTTTGTACTTTTCAATTTTTCAAAAACTACCTCTTTTTTATTCTTTTTTATCATTTCTATTGGAATGCTGAGATTTTTCCCAATAAAGTAAACAAAAAGTGTTTAAAAAATTGATTTTTTTCTTTTGAAACCCCATTGTTATCCCACTTTTAAAATTTACATAATTTATTGAAAAAAATCTCAGCTTTCCAATGAAAATGATAAAAAATTAAAAAAGAGGTAGTTTTGTGTAATCCCATAATTTACACAATTAATTTTATCAAAGTTAACATTTTAGGATTTTATTACTTTTATGCAGAACAACAATTTACCAGAATTTTAAGCCATTCCCAGAAAATTAAAATTTTTACTTGATCGTTTCACATGGAATTGCTCTTTCTTAAAAAAAATATTATAATTTTTCGTACTCATGGGGCATTCTAGGCGAAACGGACAACCTGAAATTTCTAATGCAAAATACTTATTTTTTAAAATGATGCTATTTTCATTAAAGTGCATGAAATAAAAAAAAATGACGACTCTTTTTAATAGTAAATTTAATTGTCTTTAATTTGGTTATTTTTAATTTTAAAATTCTATAAATTTTCATTGAAAAAATTAAAAACGAAAGTTTAGTGTTTATTTTTATAGACCTTCGACCATTTAAAAAAATTTTGATAATATCTTTAAAAAAGTTTAAAGTATGTAGATTGTATGTACCAAAGGGCAAAATGGCATCTAGTATGGTTTAAAAGTTATTTAATTTATAAAGTAATTATGTTCAACAATAAAAATTATAAAATTTCGATTAATGGTTAGACGTTTTCAATACACAAACAACAATGTTCATGTTAATGTCGAAACAAGTTACACATGACGTGTGCGATGATGATTTAAATTTATATTTATAGCTAGAATTTTTTATTAAAAATAATAAATTATTATGAATTTATTTTAATTTATAACAATACAATTTTTTATTTATTATAAAAAAATATTATGGTTATAAATTTAAATATATTACAGATATCAAATGTTATGTGTCACTAGATTAAACATTACCATGAACACTGTTACTTATAAACGGAACACGTCTAACCATTAATGGAAGTTTTATCATTTTTATTGTAAAACACAACGACTTTATAAATAAAATAACTTTTTTCCAACACTTGCTCTGAAAGGAGTACTTTTCTTGGTAGAAAAGTGTGGCAAAAGTAGAACTTTTCTCAACTGCTCTGAAGAGCGTGGCGAAAGTAAATTCAGCGTGGCGAAAGTAATTTTTAGCGTGGCGAAAGTAAATTTGGCGTGGCGAAAGTAAATCATGAATTTATTCTTTTTTCTTGTTCTTTGACCGAGATTTATTTTGTATCTAACTTCTTCCCCACTCAAAACATTCGTCTTTTATTATATTAAACATAAGAACATTTTAAATTAAAATTATACGAAACTCACGAAGAAACCTTTCCTCGCAAGGCGTTGGAGAAAACGTAGTGCACAACTCGTGGTGAAAGAATGATTTTTCGAGAGTGATTGCTGCTCTCGCTACGTTCGAGCCGCAAACTTCACTCTCGAAAAATCACACTTTCGCCACTAGTTGTACAATGTACTATTAAACCATACAAGATGCCATTTTGTCCTTTGGCACATATAATCTACATACTATAAACTATTTTTTAAGAAATTTTTGAACATTTTTTAAATGGTCGAAGGTCTTTAAAAATAATTACACTAAACTTTCGTTTTTAATTTTTTCAATGAAAATTTATAGAATTTTAAAATTAAAAATAACCAAATTAAAGACAATTAAATTTACTATTAAAAAGAGTTGTAATTTTTTTTTATTTCATGCACTTTAATGGAAATGGCAGCATTTTAAAAAATAAGTATTTTTCATTAGAAATTTCGGGTTATCCGTTTCGTGTAGAATGCCCCTCATCTTAAAAATAAAATAATTTATACCTTTAATCTCCAATCAAAGTCACGGAATGTAGGTAAAGTGTTTCTAGAAGTTTTCTTTAATAAAGCGTCAGTTAATTGTTCCCTTCGGACTTTTAAACATTTAAGAATTCTTTGTTGCACTTGTTCAGGTAGTGCATGATATTCCAATGGCATCTGAAATTTTTATAATTAAAAATGAAGTATGGGAGGGTGAATAAATCGAAATATGAGGATTATGAAGATTAATAAAAATTGTTAATAATTTTATTAATATATTTTCTTGCCCTCTCTTCATCCAAATATAGACAAGTAGGATTTTGTAAAAGTGAGGTAATTATGTGATACGAATTATTGTATTCCTCTTGATTCCATTCCATACTTTTGTTAAAATGTTCATAATTAGGTCCAGGATAACCGCATATTTCATCAGCGCATGCATGTAATAACTGAAAATTTATATAAAATGATAAACTATAAAGAAATTTGACAAAATTTAAATAAATATAAATTACAAACCTGGTTCAAAATGTTACATTTTGATTCACTAAAGATACTTGTATCTAAATTGTTCTTCTCCATATTTTAGAAATTCTTTACAATTTGACGTAATTTTTTTAAAGTTACTTAGTTCATACAATTTATTATTAATTTTACCTAAAATTTATCGTAATTAGAAAATTAAACTCATTATCGGTACTCGATTTTTAAAAATGTCGCTTTGTTATATATAGAAAGTACTTTTTTTTAAAATCATTGGACAGTTAAGAATATTTTGTAATTGGATAAATATTTGTGTAGTAAATTTTTTTATCAAATTGTGAAACATGATTATTTTGAAAATAGTTAATTTGTAAATAAAATTTTTAAATATTTCTAAGTAGTTCATATAACCTTGAAAAACTTTTCCCGTGAAGAAACTATTACTTTCAAGCAGTTGTATTTTATCAGAATATTGATTGTTTAAATGTTCTTTATAATAATTATTATCTTTTATCCAAAACCGAACACAAAAATTTAAAAAAATACTTAACATAACCTAATAAAATTTTTAATTAATATGGTTTAAATTAGGGCCATTAGGGCAAATAAAAATCAGCAAGAATTTAAATCACAGAAAATAAATATATTCTTGTCACTTATATGTTACAAATAACTATCTGTAACATGAGTGACAAGAATATTTATTTACACAAGTTTACTCACAAACACTCGTCACCATGAAGTAGTGTAACGAGCGACTATTATCTCGCTCGAATCCTGATTCGATATTAATCGAAATGCGATTAGAAATCGCGGGAAAATATAATATTAATTTTATATTTAAAATAATATCCTGTCCATAGATTGAGAAGAACTTTCTGCGTTCAATTTAGTAAATATGTTCCTAAAATATTGTATTCTTCAAATATCTCTCTATCAATAGCCGAAATATAACAAAAGATGAAATACATATGTTTCGCAGACACAGTATGTCTTTGAAAATATCGCTACAAAAAATAGTAAGGTTTAAACACATTTCCAGCAATATGAGTTTGTGTATTGTCACTCTGAAGACAATATACCCTTAAAACTCAAACACAATTGTCAGCCATAAACTAAGAGAGATAACCCCAAAGATGTCATAAAAAACTGTCTTTCAATTCTCAAGTAGACCCTCTTTGGAGGTAAAACCATAAAACACATCGGTTGACCAACGTACATTTTATCCTTTTTCTCAGGATAAAATCACGTACTGGAAAAACCCAGTTTTTAATACTTTTTAGAAATGTTAATTATTCCACTACTTTTATAAATAATTGTAATTTGCATATTACATTATTTCTATCAATCTAACATCTAATCAATTATTATAATATAATTGATAATGAATTAAGACTTGTAAATAAACTACATTCAAGCTTTATAGTTAAACAATTAATTTGTTATAACTATCATGACCATTAACTATGTATAATTCTATATAATATTTACTATATTTGTAACACGTATGTGTCATGTACAGGTGTAAATATAATTATTATAAATATAAATATTATTATTAGAATGTATGCATGTGTATATATATATTGAAAAAATTATCATGTGATAATTATTGGAATCATAATGTTATGATGAATGTGTATGTATCAACATCGACAAGTATGACGTATGAGTCGGTATTAGTATTAGTGAAGTGCATAAATGTATCTACTATATAGTGGGGATACTATACTATACTATACTATACTACTGTATAGTGGGGGATGCGCGTCATTTAGAACATGCGCATTTCCTCCAACATGGACTAACAGCGGAGAACAAGTCCGCTGGACTGTAACTACAGATTAGATTTAAGTTGACTATTGACTAGAAAGGTTGCTTCTAAGCTTCCTTAGTCATAACTTGTATTCTTGAACTTTTAGTAAATAAATATTTGGGTTTACTCTCAAGAAGACTGATTTCCTTCAATAATTAATGTTATTAATTATTGAATGATTTATTCTACTTGTGAGCTTTTTCCCTCCGTTTTAACGGAATATTCACGTTTATTATTTGAAATTTCCCGGTTCCTATCAAGGATTTAACCAAATTCTGAACTCAACGAATCACCGAGCAGTAATCGCGTTTGCGCGAGTAATTTACATTTGTGCTCGTAACAGTGGGTGTTTACGAGATTCTCGCCCTAGGGCGCCCCAAGGCGACCAAAGGTTCTCAAAGTCACTTTTATTATTCTTTATTTATATGAAAACAAACGATAATAAAAGTGACTTTGAGAACCTTTGGTCGCCTCGGGGCGCCCTGGGGCGAGCATCTCGTAAACACCCAGTAGTATAAGGAGCACGCACTCTATAGGCCGAGTCAGAAAATCTTGCCCCCAGTTTTGCGGTATAGTAATTAAAAAATTTGATATAACAGATACTAGCAACTCTGGCGGATAAGCTTTGTACTACAGTTCACGTATAGTGTTTATTACATGTGTGTGTCTGTATATGTGATCAACTGTCAATTGTGTGTGTTGTTGTTGTTATGACTTTCGATGCCGGTTTCAAACATTTCAAAAAATAAGGCCGCAGTCCCATGGCAGCGTTTTGCGTTGCGTTGTAATGAGAGAGAATGCAGCAAACGTATATTTGCATCTTTTTCTCTCCCATTACGACGCAACGCAAAACGCTGTCATGGGACTCCACCCTAAGAATCAACCGAATCAACAAAATGAGTAGCTGCTGCAACACATGCTAAAATCAACGCAACGCAGTCATTCGCATACTCTTTAAGAGACGCATGCATATCCCCTAATCGCCAAGTCGTCGAATGATCAAATAGTCGAATGCCAAGTAATCGAATGGACAAAAAGTCGAATGCTAAAAACATCGAATGGACAAAACGTCGAATGCTAAAAATATCGAATTGTCAATACGTCGAATTATCAATTCGTCGATTTATCAATTAGTCGAATGTTAAAAATATCGAATCGTCAATACGACGAATGTTCAAAACGTCGAATTATCAATTCGTCGAATGTTAAAAACATCGAATTGTCAATACGTCGAATGTTCAAAACGTCGAATGATAAAAACGTCGAATGCTAAAAACATCCAATCGTCATGTAGTCGAATGCTAAAAATATCGAATCTTCAGTTAATCGAATGCTAAAAACATCGAATTCTCAATTCGTCGAATGTTCAAAACGTCGAATGTTTAAAACTTCGAATGGTAAAAACGTCGAATGTTCAAAACGTCGAATGCTCAAAACGTCGAATCGTCATTTAGTCGAATTATAAAACCATCGAATAGTCCATTCGTCAAATGCTCAAATAGTCGAAACGCCATCTGTTCGAATTATCAAGTAGTAGAATGGTAAAGTTGTCGAATGTTCAAAACGTCGAATCGTCATTTAGTCGAATGCTAAAAACATCGAATCTTCATTTAATCGAATGCTAAAAACATCGAATTCTCAATTCGTCGAATGTTCAAAACGTCGAATTATCAATTCATCGAATGTTAAAAACATCGAATCGTCAACATGTCGAATGTTTAAAACGTCGAATTATCAATTTGTCGAATGCTCAAAAAATCGAATTGTCAATACGTCGAATGCTTAAATCATCGAATTTTACATTCGTCGAATGTTCAAAACGTCGAATGATCAAAATGTCGAATGCTAAAAACATCGAATTCTCAAATCGTCGAATGCTCAAATAGTCGAAACGCCATCTGTTCGAAATGTCAAGTAGTAGAATGGTAAAGTAGTCGAAATGCCATCTGTTCGAATTGCCAAGTAGTAGAATGGTAAAGTAGTCGAATAATCAAAACGTCGAATGATAAAAACGTCGAATGCTCAGAACATCGAACTGTTAATTTGTCGAATGCTTAAAACGTCGAATGCTAAAATCATCGAATCGTCAAAAGTTCGAAAAAGTTCTTTGTTTTAAGTTAATGTCTACTGAAGACAAAGAACTTTTTCGAACTTTTGACGATTCGATGATTTTAGCATTCGACGTTTTTATCATTCGACGTTTTGAGCATTCGACGAATTAACACTTCGATGTTCTGAGCATTCGACGTTTTTATCATTCGACGTTTTGATAATTCGACTACTTTATCATTCTACTACTTGGCAATTCGAACAGATGGCGTTTCGACTACTTTACCATTCGACTACTTTACCATTCTACTACTTGACATTTCGAACAGATGGCGTTTCGACTATTTGAGCATTCGACGATTTGAGAATTCGATGTTTTTAGCATTCGACGTTTTGATCATTTGACGTTTTGAATATTCGACGAATGGAAAATTCGATGATTTAAGCATTCGACGTATTGACAATTCGATTTTTTGAGCATTCGACAAATTGATAATTCGACGTTTTAAACATTCGACATGTTGACGATTCGATGTTTTTAACATTCGATGAATTGATAATTCGACGTTTTGAACATTCGACGAATTGAGAATTCGATGTTTTTAGCATTCGATTAAATGAAGATTCGATGTTTTTAGCATTCGACTAAATGACGATTCGACGTTTTGAACATTCGACAACTTTACCATTCTACTACTTGATAATTCGAACAGATGGCGTTTCGACTATTTGAGCATTCGACGAATGGACTATTTGATGGTTTTACCATTCGACTACATGACGATTCGACGTTTTGAGCATTCGACGTTTTGAACATTCGACGTTTTTAGTATTCGACGTTTTAAACATTCGACGTTTTGAACATTCGACGAATTGAGAATTCGATGTTTTTAGCATTCGATTATCTGAAGATTCGATATTTTTAGCATTCGACTACATGACGATTCGATGTTTTTAGCATTCGACGTTTTTATCATTCGACGTTTTGAACATTTGACGTATTGACAATTCGATGTTTTTAACATTCGACGAATTGATAATTCGACGTTTTGAACATTCGTCGTATTGACGATTCGACTGTTTAATCATTCGACGACTTGGCGATTAGGGGATATGCATGCGTCTCCTTTTTAAGACCTATTGGAGAAAGACCTTTATATATATAAGGTAGTTTAAGTTGGGTGGGGGAAATCCAATATGGCTGACATCAGCTGATTTACCGGAGGACAAACAATGCATTGAATTCAATGGGACAAATCAGTTTTTAACCATAACTTTTTAAATATTCATTTTTGAACCATAGTGTAATGGAAAATTATTCTTTATTTATCGAAATCTATTTTTTAAAACAATAAAATTAAATTTTTTGGTTTTATTGTTTTAAAAAATAGATTTGGATAAATAAAAAATAATTTTCCATTACACTATGGTTCAAAAATGATTAAAAAACTGATAAAATGATATGATTAAAAAATGATGATAAATGGTTAAATGATATGATTAAAAAACTGATTTGTCCCATTGAATTCAATGCATTGTTTGTCCTCCGGTAAATCAGCTGATGTCAGCCATATTGGATTTCCCCCACCCAACTTGAACTACCTTATACTACTGGATAAGGCTATTCAAGTTCGGTGGGGGAAAATTCAAGATGGATGCTAACTGGTGCACCAACATTGTATAGAAAGTGTATGGGATAGAGTCTAATTTTTTAAATATCTCGCTTAAACGAAATTTTTAACCATAAGTTTATTAGGATTTTATGTTTCATTTTTAAAGAACTATTTTTTGCAATAATAAAATCAATAAAAAAATAAAAATCGATTTTTATTATTGCAAAAAATAGTTCTTTAAAAATGAAACATAAAATCCT